GCTAGTGACGTTCTGTGTGAACTAGCCCGACACAATGTGACTAAAGCGGAGCTCAGTCTGATAACTAAGCTCTCGGCATTCAAGTCGATCGTCATCCCAATGCTTACCTACGGTCATTAGTAGCGGAGCATTACTGAAAAACTTCGAACCCGGGTACAAGCTGCTGAAATGGGCTTTCTTAGACGAGTCGCTGGCCTTACGCATCTCGACATGGTCCGGAATGATGACATCCGGAAGAGCCTTGGTGTACAGCCTTTGCTTGTCCAGATTGAGATGTCACAGGTGCGATGGTTTGGGCGTGTTGCAAATGCCTCCAGAAAGGAAGGCTAAGCAACTGTTTCTTGCGAATCCGATCGGGACAAGGCCCAGGGAACAGCCATGATTAACGTGGTGCAAATATATGGAAGGAGTCCGTTGCAGACTCCAGTTGTCTTCTGCGGATGCTCACACTCTGGCACAGGATCGGGAAGGTTGGAAGCTGTCTGACGGCTCTGCCTCCATGACCCGAAAGGAGAAGCGGCGATGGAAGACGAAGATGAATTATTTCCACAGACTTTCTTTACACATAACAAATCTCACATTTTTTATTTTCAACCATTCAAATACTTTAAACTAAAAGCATTACCTGTTTCGGAAGAGGCATCCATTCATTTAGCTCTCGTGCATATGCCGAAAAAATTCTCAGAGTGAACTAAAAACCAGATGAAACACGCATAACAAAAACAAAACACGAACCGGACAACCCTTGTACAGCAAAGTTAAGTGACCAGACGAACCAGTGTCTTTGATCTACAACAATCAACAATTAGGTCGTTTTAAACAAAGTGTTAAGATTATGAACAGAAGCACATTTTCATACACGAAACTTCGTATAAACTTAGTGCCGATGGAGAGAAAGAAGTCTTCTTGGAAAAGTTTTTAACTTCGATGGCTGAGGGCCGATGAACTTTATTACTCAGAAACTGGTTTCACGCAATGATCACGTTATTCATCGTGATGCACAAGCAACCGAAATTGAAAAAAATTCAGACATTATACAGGTCAGTTTAAAATCATACGAAATAGCGACTGATTAGCTAAGGAACCTAAATTAGCTTAAGAAATTGCATAAAATTAACATATTAGCGGGAACGCCATCGATATAGCACACAATGCATGTACTAGGCGCATCACACAAAAGGATACGCCATGAAATTCTGTTGTGTTGCAAAGATTCACAGCGATTCATTATTTAAACAAGTAATCCTACATGCATCTTTGTATATTTTGAGGCACTTGCTGTGCTAAATCTACAATTATTACGATTCGACGATTATAAGATATGGCTCGTAATGTTTGAATGCATAGCGTGGTCACTGGCGAAGGTCCTTGTTAGTCGCATTACGCCGTTTTGAATGTATCCACAATACGTCGAACTGACAGACGAAACTAATAGTTTCTTGGAAATGCTGAAGCACAGATAGTTTGCTACGAACTTTGGGTAACTTTCTGAAAAACATTATAACCTTTCTTTCTGACCGACATTCACTGAGGTACCAAACATAAAAGTTACCATGAACAGAACTGAATCTGGTAAAAGACATGATGCGACGACAGACACATGACACTTGACTGCTGTCTGAGACAACAGGTTCTGAATAACCTTTCGACTGTCAGTTTTCTTCAGGGCTATAACCACTAAAGTGGAAAACTTCTTATAAGTCATTACTCTCCACAAACTGAGAAAAGAAAAAAATTATAAAATGGTATATATGCTGTTCGCAAAATGATACCGAAATTCAACGGTTTCCCATTTTAAAGAATAGGGCGACTTCTATACGCCGATGAACAGTCTTATCATTTACAATTGGCTGTCATTACTTCAAAATTAACTTACAAGGAAACTGCGTCTAATTCATCTGCAACTTTTATCTACGTACCAGAAAAAACTTTATTCAACGATCGAAACTCTGAATCTCAGTCATGTATTGCGTAAGCATTAAAAAATCGTGGGCAATAACAGAAAACCAACGTTAGACGCTGAATCTACTTTTGAAAACGGCGCATACAGAATTAAACAAGTAGGCCAGGATACATACCTACATGCGCACAAATAGTAACTTCATGCGGATTAATGGAAAAGTTACCTTGGATGAACGACGTTGTTTAAGTTAAAAACGAGCTTGAAACACATCGGTTCGTCTCAAACATAGATCACAACTCCCTCACAGATAAACCAAAATTAAAAGCAAAAGATTGTTGATACTGACTACAGTAACCATTAATTCATGGTCGTCGGTCATTTTTCATTTAACAGAAAATTTGTTTTACGTTTGTACAGTGGTGGTTTTCCCCAAACCCGATAAATTTAGTCTCGTTTTAGGAACAGCGAAACATGAAGAAACATGGCCAGCAGACCAATGCATTACAATTAAGTAGTTACACATTTCACATTACCTGAATGACAAACGGTTTGCCGTTCATTTTCAGATTCAGTACGGCGTTCGATAAATTTAACGATCCATCAATCACACACAAAGTTCCGTCCACATCAACCTGAATTATTGGCCTTACGTAATTATAATGAAACCATACCTCTGTACTTCTGCGTGATCTGATTCAGACTTCTTTATTTGCACTTTATGAGTGGTCGGCTCCCTATCGAAGTGTGGAAGAGTAACATACGAGTCATCGCCATGTCTCTTGTCGTAAACAGCATAGTTAGAGCTGCAATAAAAACGATGAACTTGCGAAGTGAAAATACCAAAATGATGTTAGAAATGTGACTAACTTCGTCGTATAACGTAAGGTTCGCTAAAACTCGATTGCCTAGGCTTCATTTTATTAGGTGGATCACATTATGAAAAATAATTCAATGATATTTAGGTCTGAGAGCACCGCTTTTTAATGTTAACCTTGTTTCATCCAATGTTCATAACAGCGCAGGTCGAAAGTCGGTACTTTATTCCGTGGTGTGTAGCGTCAAGACAACAATGATGTGGTGCTACGACAGACCACTGTCATTTTCTCCCTATTTACCCGCTACCCCGCATCAATATTTTGGGCAGTAACACCTATCACGATGTATGTAACTTCAAACCATGGACACATTCTAACATTCCTACACTTCAAAGCGAAAATGCATACCCATATGACCTCCACATATCAAACGATTTAATAATGTATAGGTGGTCTTATCATCTCGGCATAAAAGACATTAATCAAAATACTAAAATTTATGATGTCCTACCGCAGAAATGTTAGCTTCACTAAAAATAAATGGTCGCAAACACCTCGCCAACTAGTCTCTAACCTAACCCTTTCCTTCCTGGCACGTCGACTATGCATCACGGGCTACAGTGTTCATTGATAATCTAACCATATCGGGGTGAAATAAGACAATAGCCATCACTGTTTGATGCGCCGAATTACCTGGTTTTACAGCAGATAAAGGAAACAATAACCTTGTTCAAAATTCAAAACGAGGGACTACGTTCAGCGTGAAGACGACATAATGCAAAAGAAAGCAAAACTTACAATATTCACATACTTTTGTGGGTTTAGCAAGTCATACGATCGATTGATGTTGTGTTTGTACAGAGCAGCAGCAACCGCACATAACTGTGCACTTTCGCTCTCGTCCAGAACGATTCCCTTGAAGCCGTCCGGATATGTTTCGAACAAATACTTTGTGGTGATGTTTCCAGAACGATATCGCTTCTCGGTCATCATGTCTCTTAGCAAAGGAATATTATTCGTCACACCTACAAGTTGAATGAGATACAATCGATCTATATAAACAGTTTTCAACATCTTAAATTTAAAAAAGATCACTTACTGCTTACCACTAGTATTAAACTAACTACAGCTGTTGTCTTGAACCATGGATCAAGAAGTGAAAACCATTCACTGTTATTCAGTCAGACCACGAATCGACATCTCCTTCCATACTAATTTGGCACTAACATTCATTAAAAATTGAATAAACCAAACTGGCGTACAAAGGAACGAGTAACTGCAAATACCAGCGATTAAATGGAATTCTCATCCTCGTTACACACTAACGCAGTAATTTAGCTGACAACCGCTGTCAACCAGCGGACCTTTCAAAACACTGATTCCATGATTATTACAAACAAATGCCTAAAGGAAATACAAAAGATGCGAGGAAAACAAACACAGTTTATATCGCACAACCACAAGTTACAACTCCACTGACCAACACAGTATATGCATATGCAAACTTACAAAATTCGACATTTAATAAAAATTTCACCATTAATAAGAAATGAGAGGATAGCATGATAGATAATGAAGATTCTCAATAAGCTTCTGGGGAGAAAACAGCTATAGGTAGCATTCAAAGTAAGCAAAGACTACAAGAGAGTTAACTATCAGTAGGCCCAAGCTTAACCACGAACAATAAAAGTCGGGGGCTACCGTAATCCTGCTCACTTTTTTTAGTCTGAACCATCATATTCTATTTGTCTGAGCGCAGTTAAGCTAAGAATTACGAATAAAATTTGATAATCCATTTGTTGGAACAAAGAAACTCCCCTAATCCAACTCGCTGCGAAGAGTTAGTAACGACCACACTACTCGATGGCAAGGCATGGCAGATAAATAAAATTTACTCAATGAAGACCTCTTACGAACCCCGAAATGGTAGGCTAACAAGGGAAGTTAAAAATTCCCGTGTGCTTATCAACGCAGTTTTGTCTCGGAGAATGATGCTTCGACAACAAATTCCGACGGACTTACACGCGTGAACCAATTCCCATCTTAATAACATTAAAAACGCATAACAAACTCGTTTAATCATTCTATATACCCGCAACGGAAGAAGATTCGTAAGCAAGAAGAATTAAACATAGTAAAGAAGGTTAATGGTCTATATCACGAAACATGGGAGAAATAACACCCTTAATACCACCAGGATTATCGAGTCAGAGAATGGACGTTAAAATGTTACACAGATCTGAGCATCTTACAATTCCTATAAACGGAACACATACGTCAACGTCAGAGCAATAAAACGAATTGAACTGAACTGAACTCATGCCTCCGACAAAAAATAACGTACATTACCTCTAATGACGTATGCATCGAGGGCATCTCTCATTTTATCCAATGCATCATTGCGATCTTTTCCGTAAGTTACCAACTATGGAAAAATCGAAGCAGATAATGAATTTCAAAAAACTTCAAATACTTTGCAAATAAGCGGATCGTAATATATGCTGATCTCGCTTCCTTCATAAATTCCACTGTCACATCGCACGCCCGGAATGTGCAACGGTTCAACATACCGTGAAAGTCGGCCGGTTGATGGTAAACCGAATGATTTGTACGGATCTTCAGCGTAAACTCGACATTCCACTGCCCAACCTTTCACAGGTATATCCGCCTGAGTCAGTTTCAATTTGTGACCTAACCAAATAAATAGAACGCATAAGGGATAACACGAAATCAAGTTTCAATTCAGTATCGCTTTAGCTACTAATTTAAAGCTTACCATAAGCAATTCGAATCATCTGATGGACGAGATCAACGTGTGTAATCCCTTCAGTGATAGGATGTTCGACCTGAAACATTTAGAGACATTATATGGCAAGGATTTATGGCCTTAATCAGCCCCTAACAAATTAAACATTAATGTGGAACTCGCCACTCATTTGTACAAACTGCATAATAAAGCAACACGGCATGACTTTTAGTAACAATTGGAGACTAGGAATTTGATTTCCTAAACTGGAATGA